AAACTTCTGAAGCAATTGGAGTCAGGACTCAGAGAACACTGACGGTTTATTTGGAGCTTCGGCCGGAGAATTCACAAGACATATCACGGGTCACGGTTTGACCACACCTTAGAGATGCCAAAGTGTAATAATCAACATTCTTTATCAGCGAGACTAAACAAATATGGACCCTGAATCTAACTAGAGCTGTCGTCCATATAAGAATGTGCACCAGGGAACCTACGTTCCTAAAAAGAAGGGCTTCTAGATGTCCTTTAAACAATTAACTATGTCATGGCGGCTTGTGCTCGGTCATAAGCTGGCAACAACAATGCGCCCAAGCTGCCCCTCCTTAAGAGAGATAGCAGCAAAACTCAAGGCCGTAGACCTACATGTATGCCATGGGAAAGGAGACAGTGAGAGGAGAAAATGATTAACTGTGTCAAAGGTTGAATACCTAAGCAAATGATTCCCCAACGTTAACTAGCCTGTTAGCTGTTAACACATGACTCTAACCAGCATGTCAGCAGCCTGAGCACTGACACACACAAATCGCTGACTCATCTTCTTCTCAGGTGATATTTTAGTCCCATCCTAGTTTGGAAGGATATTTATGTGAATATGTACAACACTGATATTTGGCTCTGAGGCTCTAAACTCATGCCTTCACAGAAGGAAACTCAATAACACCAGCGTCCCCTCTAGGTTAACTTCTGCTCACAGCCTGCAAGTGGAAGCAGGGGTGGAAGTGGAGCTTTAAGCAGAAAGTCAGAGCAGCAGTACAGCTTTAAAAAAGAGACGAGCATGCCATATGGAGTGTAGCGATGCACTTTAGCAGTCTCCCTGAACCAGCTCGCAGGCGTCCTTTCATTAATGTTTGAGCTGTTGTGATTTTTGGAACATAATGATGGAGGTGAGGATTCTTGTTCAGGAGCCTTGGGCAGTTCTTATATTCAGCACAACATGCTGAATATCTGCTGAGGTGAGCAGTTCTCAGATAAAATCTAAACCCCTCCAAAAGCACTGTCCGATAATTTGAAACTCTTATGATAGGATGGAAGAACTCACACAGAGGCAGGATAAGTTTAAGGAAGTTTATTGCAGGTCAACAGGTGACTGGTGGGTGAGTGGAAAGGGGAAGATGGTTAACCAAGGCAGACATGAAGGCGGATGATCCTGAGGCACAGGGGGAAAAGAAGAGTTCAAGTCTGACTGGGAATCCACACAACTACAGGTACTCAGATTTAACTAGACGAGCGAGGCCTGAAGGAAGTGACTACCACAGGAGAGGAGACAAAGACCGGCACAGAGAGGAAGAGGTAGAGGAGGCGGCGATGTGCTGCAGAGATTATGAGCTGATTGCAGGAGTGTTGGAGGAGCAGGGAGAGCGAGAGGGGTGAGGAGAAGATTGATAGCAGCAGGGCAGGTTGAGCAGGGATATAGGAGCCAGGAGAGTGAGAGCAAGAGAAAACACCCACACACACACTCTCAGGAGAGCAGAGAACACACAGGGGAGGTGGGAAACACAAGATAGATATACTGGAGCCTGCCCTGGCTGTGACTAAACCCAGTGGGGACAATGGCTAAGGTTGGATTGTCTTTTTTGCTTATGAAGGTTTCTATTAAGGTGAAAATACCCCTACGTTTTCAAGCTGCAGCCATGCTCAGATTTGGTTGAATTCTCTAAATGCTTCAATGCTTCCTTTCTTTTCTCCTTTAACATAGGAAAGTGCTGTCACGCAATTCCTTGGAAAATATATTGGCAAAAAATGATTACCTATAAAACCATGTCCAATGTTTTATCCCCACTTGATCTCAGTGTTCCACCAGTTTCCCTATCCTTATGCACTTCTGTTTTCACAAATGCTTTTTAAACACATTCTCATCACTGGTGGTACTGCAGCTAGGCCTTCTCGCCTACACAGTGCATTGATAACACAGGATATTGGTTTTAGCCTGGGCTATAATGCTAATCCATAAAACTCACATAATTAATGTCTTTCAGTAATGGAATGTAAAGAGTTCAGCTAACAATACTTAAAACAGGAAATTGATTTTGGATTGCATAATGGCCATGAAATGCATCCCTGTGTGGAGCTTAGAATGGTTGTATGCGTGTATGCGTACGTTTGTGTGTGTGTGCATTAATATGTCTGTGTGTGACCTCTAGCAGGTATTGCTGATATGGCTGATCGGTTCCCGTGTCAAATAGGAGGCTGACAAATAGGGCAAGACAAAGCACAGTCCAATTCAACTGACACTGTTGAATTAGGGGTTTTCAGGGAAATCTATATAACAGGAGGATGTGTGTGTGTGTGTGTGTGTGTGTGTGTGTGTGTGTGTGTGTGTGTGTGTGTGTGTGTGTGTGTGTGTGTGTGTGTGTGTTTTTAGTGTATGTGTGTGTGTTTTTAGTGCATGTGTTTGTGTGTAAAACCCTAAATGGATCCTGTGCAGTGTTATTGCGTGGCTGGGTCTCTCCACACATTGAAATTGTGACAGGCTTTTCCTCAAAGTACCACTGTACTCCAACTAGTCTACACACTCCATTGTGTGTGTGTGTGTGTGTGTGTGTGTGTGTGTGTGTGTGTGTGTGTGTGTGTGTGTGTGTGTTTTCTGTTCCTATTTAAGCCTGTAGAGTAACTGTGTGGATCCATTTGCGTCCACCCCTGGCAGTAATTACGAAGACTGCTGGATCGTCACTGCAGACACAGACAATAACACACACACACACACACACACACACACACACACACACACACACACAGACGGACACATATCGACTGGTAATTGCACTTAACTCGGATTCGCTTAGGGCTATGTTTGAAAAAAAAAACATATGTTCTCAAACACAAAAATATGCACGCATTTTACATTCTCATCAGCTGTGTGTCCTTCAGTGCTTCCCAGCAGATGTTTATTAGCCTCTCCTCTCATCACATCTGCTCCTCACACACCGCCCCTTCCTTTGATGCTTTCACTGCTCCAGCAGTCATCTTGTATGAATATATATCATGCACATATGCTGATATCAAGGTGTTTGGTTAAAAAGTAATTATTATATTAGGGTTTGTCGGTTGTGTCCTTGTTATGCAGACCAAATATGCTGGGATTTAATGTTTGTTTGACACTAACTGTCCTACATATAATATCAGAGGAGTGAGTGAATCTGAACTGGCTGGCTCGACTCAATAATAAAATCGGTACAAGGTAGTTTTTGTAGTGAGTTTATTTAACACACATTTAATCAGAAGTGACAAACTCAATGCTGTACACGTCAAGGATTTCTGTCAAAAAAAAAATACATATTCTATGAAGGGGGTATTTAATGTGGCACAATGAAACAGCACTATCTCTTTTCCTTTGGTAAGTATGGCACCTTATGCATAAGGAAGAAATAAAGCATTAAGGTATAGCCAATGCATTTTTCTCCCCAACTCTCATACGAAAACAATGAATAATCTCTATTGGCATGATATGTGAATGTTGCTACTGTAATCCCTTGGAAATGGCTAAACATACATTTGGCAATATTCTTCAAGTAAGGTTGGAAATCAATGATACAAAATCCTTATGTGTATTTTTGCCCTCTGTTCTTCCCCAGTTGAGTTTTGGTGGGATGCCGTACAGTGGAAAGCCCGTTGGAGCCGGGAGGAAGAACTTTAAAGGCTGCATGGAGAGCATCAACTACAACGGAGACAACATCACAGACCTGGCCCGCAGGAAGAAGATAGACACGTCCAGCTTTGTAAGAGAAATGTGCCGAATTGTAACTATAAATCTAAAATGCTTGAAACAACATGCTCACACAGCAGCTGAAAACTGAACATGCTCATTATTGTCACACTAAGTCTGTATCTGACCTGAGTGAGAGGGCAAATGATTCACCGTACCCAAATAGTTGAACAGATTCATAATTAATCAGATACATCTGACCCATCAGTGGCCTCTCCGTGTGTTTGCCTCCTGTCCTCGTGCTCCCTCTCCATATCTGTGTGCCATTTTACTGCAACCTATAACGACCTCATTCCACTGCAACCACTGGAACAGTTTGTTTTCAACACATCTATACAGAATAAGCAACCTTTTAGATGCTTTACTTAACAAATCCATGTAAGAGTGGCAACATTATAGCAACAGATAGCAACATGAGTTTAACATTACTTTCAATCCGTCCAAACATGCCGATAAAGCTCTGCAGCTAAGTGTAATTTACCCTTCTTTGCTTCTAATTGCAATCATCCATGTAGAAGGTATTATCAATACATTTGCCCCAAAACAAAGAAGCAGAACAATAGGCAGAGAAAAATATAAATAAATAATGTCACAGTGAGTTTTAATAAACCATGATCTCTGGAAAGTCTGGGCGTGACCCTCCGTATTAATGCACTTCAGTAACCACAATTTCCTCTAAAGAAACTCATCATTTCACTGTTAATGTGTTTGGCTATTAGCTCTGATGAGCCTCATTTGTATAGAAAAGGGACAATGCTGCACCAAATGTATGCATATTACCTTTTTCAAACACGTTCAAATAGCACAGGATCAGGGAGACGCTATTAAGGGGAGCATGTCACATTGTGCAGACACTTTAAGAACACAGATTGGTCCCTGTTCAGGGCTAGCAGCCAGAAAAGCCGCAATCATTTGTTTGGTTTAAGTGTCTTGCCATCCTTCAGATTAGTTTTACAACAATATTTGATAGACTTTAAAGCACTTCTCTCTACGTCTTCCTTAAGAGGGAAGAGCCGGTCTATCAAGTGCAATCTCTAGTGAACTGATATAACAAATGGAGACACTAATCAAGTTCGTTAAAGCTGCACCTCTAATTCTCTCTGATGACTAGCGCCGCCTTTCATTTCTAATCAAAACAGATCTGCTCTCAAATCTCACAAACAGGCAGAGGCAATCAGGAATCATCTATAGATGGTAAGGCAGCTCAATAGTGTGCGCTTGCTAATGATTTAATTAAAAGCACGCGTTTGGAGAAGCTCGAAGGTAATTAGTCCCTAAAATCCACAGTAGTGTTTGTTTTCGCCTGCACACACACACATCAGCGAGGTTACTGTTCGACCCTGGTTTCAAAGAAGAGGAGACATTATTCTGATGCTTACAAGCAACATCAGCCTTTGAATGTAGCTTCAATGGAGCATCTGAAGGTTAGCGTGCAGGAGATTCAAAGCAACAAAGGCCTGGATAATAAAAAAACGATTTCCTAAAGGGTTGAGGCTTTTAAAAAGTCCAAACAACTTCCCACACTCAAGGGATTAGCTTTATTTTCTCTCTGAAGACCAATTCATAACTTTGAATGACCCCTCTTTGCCGGTGTCTCCACAGCGCAACCTGTCCTTCTCCTGCGTGGAGACACACTCCTTCCCGGTGTTCTTCAACGCCACCAGCTTCCTGCAGCTGCCGGGACGAGCCAATCACGACACGTTATCTGTCAGCTTCCAGTTTCGTACCTGGAACCCCGAAGGGCTCCTCTTGTTCAGTAATCTGGACGACGGAACGCTGGAGGTCTCTCTGGAGGACAGCAAGGTGGGGGTTCATCTCAACGTGACGCAGGAGACCGGAAACCAGCGAGTCGACCTATCATCAGGTGAGTCTGTCTACAGGTACACACACTTTAAGACACAACACACAACTTAAGTGAGAAGCCAATTAGTTTAGCAAAATAAATCCACAATCATTAGCAAGGTGTGATGCCTGTCCCTGTTGCATTTTCCGTTGTATTGAAAGTATCACTCCGACACAAAACAGGAATAATGTCAGCGTTTCACTGAAAACCCATGCATACAGGGTTTGAATCTGGACAGCTAAACAGCTTTCTTACATATTCTATTTGCATAGGGTTATTTTAAAGCTTGCTTGAAACAGTTAGATCATGTCTATATTTGGAAACTTGCTGGAGAAGTTCACCAGCATTCGCATACAGGAAGTGCACTTACTGTTGTGTTACTGCCAATTGTTTTTAACCCTCTTATTCTTTACTCATTATTCTACTTAAATATAACGATTTTGACACTTTTCCAGTCAGTCAAATACTTTTTTTCAACATGTGTTGCTTGTTGTGGCATGCTAATCAACAAATGTACAATTCAAACTAGGGATATTTAGACAATTGTCACATTTAGGCATGCTTAAATACTTATATAAGTAATAATAACATAAGTTATGAGAGTATGATTTCGGTCCAAGTTCATTGACCGCCTGCTTTCATATTTAAATGAAATGCTGTAGAACAATTAACATTTTGAAAATCACACTGAAATGCACAGAAATGTTTTAAGAAGAAGTATTTTTTCCATTCTTCCTATCCTATTATACCCTCCCTTAAATGGTACATCCTACCTCTCCTCCCATCTCCCCCCCCTTCTTTCTCTTTCCTTAGACATACTCATTTATTCTGTCCTGTGCTGCTTTAATAGGCCATTATGCCCAGGGGTAGGGATTATTACAGAGTCACCCTCTAGGCTAATTGGGCTTGAGCCTGCGATTACATCACTATTACTGGAATGTACAGCCGCCCAAACGCAGACTCACACGCACAAACGCACTTCCACTTATTCTGGTATTTGCATCTCAGAAAGGAAGCTGCACTGGCTCCGATGACACAGTGGGAGCACGGTACACTTGTAATGAAATGCTTAGTCCCTCCTAATGCAAATAGACACTGGCAGATGTGCACACACTAAGGAGAGAGAGAGGATCGTACGGAGACTACACAATCCAGTTTTCTTCTCCCGATGGGGATAGATTGCTTATGAAGCTATTTAGCGACAGCTTATTCCCATATAATCAAGCATCTGCTGCAAGATAGAACCAGACTGAAATACTCCACTGATCTGCAACCCCTGCAGGATGGAGACATTCATGACCAGACATGTGTTTTTTTTCTTTTTAAGGTAATATCGAATCAAATAACTTGCTTTAGAGTGAAGTGGTTGCAAGCTCTTGAGTTTCAATAAGAATGAGAACCCTAGTTTGCTGCTATTTGTACAAAATAGCAGAGAGCTGAATGCACTAAGATAAATACATGAATGACCATATGTGTGTTATGCACCTCTTTTTAGAGCCTCAGAAATGTTTTGAAGCGTTTAAAGCTTTCTGTATTTTGTTCTCATGAATATCAAATCTTTGAAGCAAAGGAATATCAAGCACTATAGTTTCCAATAAGAAGGGGCACAATATTTAGCAGCTTGCATGTACCCTGCTGTTTTCTAAAACATATCAGTGAGATTGAATCACTGAGAGCCTGATTTAGAGTAAAACATCTAACAAGCCAAACAGACCCAGAAAGTTGTTTTTCTCAGGAGTTGGATGATAAAACCAAGGCGAAAAAAATAAATAATGTCTGGCATTTCACAAAAAACACTGCCTGTCTCACTCTGTCTGGTGCTTAAGCATAAAAACATTACCTCCACACTACCAGCTTGTAATTTCCGAAGGGTTTTCTGCAAACCCCAAGTGAATCAGTAGGTGAGGGAAAAAAAGTGAGGGTTGGATGAAGGATAGGAGCTGGAAAATGAAAGCTTCATGTCTCTGAGGCAGAAACACACCTGAATATCTCTTCATAACCTCATTCTGTCCATGGTGGGTCCCAGCTCATTAAAGGTCATGTTTCTCTCTGAATGAGAGCTATGGGTACAGTCGAGATGACCTGGTACTAGAAACACACACAAACTGTTCACAATGTGTGTGTGAGTCTGTGTCTGTGTGTCTGTGTGTCTGTGTGTGTGTGTGTGTGTGTGTGTGTGTGTGTGTGTGTGTGTGTGTGTGTGTGGTGTGCATGTGGTGTGTGTGTATGTGTGTAGAGGTGTGTGTGCGCGCGTGTGTCCGTGTGCATTATGTAAGTACTTAATTGTGATTCCTGCAGGGACTCTGATCTAATTTTCCCATCTCTTTTCTTTTACTTACTCATTAACTCTCTTCTCTTCTACTCTCGTCACTCATTTGTTAGTTTAATAAAACGCCTTGGTTATAGAGGGGCTGGAAAGTGTTGCCCTCATGGCCGAACAGAAGCAACAAAACATGTTTTCATGTGCCCAAAAAACAAATCAAGCTCCTATTTTCCACATTACATCCCATGAAATGCTGCACTAAACCAACGCCGGTGAAAACGCTCTTTATTTACCTGATGCTGATAGCAGGTGAGTGTCGGTATGACTGTGTGTGTTTTGAGGATGTTTTCTTCTCATCATCCTTTTGATTAATTAGCAAATGATTTGGCACCTGCATAGTTTCCATGGAAACGATATTCGACTGTCTCCGGTGCTTTTGCAGGGACGAATACATCTACTTTCCTAAGAGCTTGTTGAGGAAATGTGTTTTTCGCACTCCTGTTACAAACACAAGGTATTAGTAGTTATAATTAATGTTGAAGAGTCATTCAATATGTAACATAGCTTCAAGGAAAACAAAGAATTGATGTAGCTACTTTTTCTTTATTGTTCTCCTTTTTTGTTATCAAGGAATATAATTACAATTAATCTTGATGAATAAAATAAAAGGTAAAAAACATTGAAAAGGTTTCCCAAATTGAGATCAATAAAGGTGTTACATGTTGGTGTAGCTTCAAGAAAACACATACACATTTTAGACAATGAATTACTTTTCTAAATTCCCTTCAATACGTGTGTATAACCTGCATGTTATTATTGAATCTGCTTTGTGTGTCTTTCCCCTCTTACAGTTCCATACAAAAGCTTCATGGTATGCTGGAATAACTCAATCATCTGTTTCATTACGTTTTGCATTAACTCCTTTCTTTATTATTTCTCTAAATCGGCCTATTTTTATACCTCTTGGGCAATGTACCATCCAAATCATTCTCGGTGAGACTGAGGCGAGGCTCATTGCAAAATAAGACAAAGCCATAGCGTAAACTGTCGGATTCAGACCGCCACCTCGACGGCAGGAATATTCCTTCTTCGTTAAAACTCTGCGAGTGTTTGTGTGTTCTCTCATCCGTGCGTTCACACCCATCAACTTAGCCAGAAGTAATAACATCAGTTCCTTTGAGATGCAGAATTTACTATCAGTCACACACACAAGGTTACTCGCACAGTCAGAATAGGAAGCATGAGTAATTACAATAACAGGCCCGAGGCACAGATTTGTGGGGAAAACAGCCCTGCAACCACCCCAGATTTGAGTGTTTCATTGTTTCATTCCCCCCAAGTGTGTGTGTGTGTGTGTGTGTGTGTGTGTGTGTGTGTGTGTGTGTGTGTGTGTGTGTATTATGTTAATATTTTGCATTCTCCGGCTTTGTTTAATTGCCGTATTGCCATCCATAAGGACGTTTACAATTCTGCAAACTACCTTGGAGGACATCATATTTAGGAATGGAGGATACATTCAGGATTGCCAGCGGGCCCCATGAATTTATAGAATACTAAATTAATCTATACTATACATACAGGATCATATGAAACAGTGGGAGAGGAGAGAGGTTAAGCGTGATGGGAGGCAGAGAATAGGAGAGGACGAGGGAGTAGAAAGGAAGGTAATCAAAAACAGTATTAACGTTACACGCTGGACACACTGTGATATTGCCGAAATGCTCCAGGTGAGAAACATCCAGCAGCCTTAAATAACGCTTCTCTCCCATGTGTAATGTGATAGTATCATAAGTGTTGCTACTTACTCTCTGATGTAATCTGTGTTCTTCCTCTGAGCATTTGATTAGTATTCACCTGGCCACTGCTTATCTCCCATAATAACTCCCTCTGATAGTTTTCATATGATCAGGGGGGCGCTGATACAATTATGTATTTAGTAGTTTCTGAAGCACTGAACATCTCACTTCCTTTGGTGAAGATACAGTTACTGTAAGCTTTTCTTTGGTTTTACAGTTCTCAGTTAATACAGATATATAATACAGATATCTTATTATAATAATAATGTGTTTTTTTCATGATTCTCCCACTAACATACTATAATAAATAACTTGAATTAAATTAAACTTGAATTAAAAAGTTCCTTAAATGCAATTGTAATGGCACTTAAGTATGTCCATTTCATGCTTCTTTATACGTATTTTCCACTTCATTTCAGAAGCCTATATTAAAAATGTACATTTATCTGACAGCTTTAATTACTTTATATAATTGAGATTATTCGCTGATGCAAAATATAAATCCAATATTAAATGAACATTAACATATGTCTACTTTTGGTACTTTAAGTCTATGTCGATGCCTATGCGTTGGTACTTTTACCGAAGTAAGGTTGTGAATGCAGGGCTTTTACGGAGTTTCTCACAATGTGGTATTGCTGCCATTACTTATAACATCTGAGTACTTCTTCCACCACAGGTATTCCGAGGTAGAGCACAAATAAGGTCCAATCAGTTGAATAAAACATTAGACTTCTCCATCGCTGCCCCCACCCTCTGGAACTCAACACATCAGAGACCCCACCTTCAAAACACTGACCAAAACAGTCGATAGGGACTTGGCTTAGCAACTGGAAGGTCACCAGTTCAAGTCCCAGCAAGACCAAGTGCTACCGAGGTGTCCCTGAGCAAGGCAGCGTTCCCCACACTGCTCCCCGGGCGCCGTTCAAAATGGCAGCACACTGCTCCTAACACTAGGATGGGTCAAATGCAGAGAAACAATTTCCCCACGAGGGATTAATAAAAATCCATCTTAATCTTAATCTTAAGAGTATATACAAGTAAATGGAATATTTAAATAATTTGCACGATGCAAACAGAGGAATGTTTATGGATGTTCTTTACAGAGTTCAGGTGTTTAATAGTTAACATGTTAAATGCAAAGCACACCCGGTGTTCTCCCTCCCCCCTCAGCACTCTGTCTCTGAGGCGTTGGAGCTGAGTCTGGGTGACACTCAGCTCCTCCCTCCGTCATATGAACATGTTCCTCCACTCCTTCAGCTCGGCCCAGCTGTCAGTGATGCTGCTGCTCTGCCCTTAATGCTTTAATAGACTTTCTGTGACACTTCCCTCCTGAGCCTACTCTCTTCTGCACTGAAAGCTCTTTGAGTAATGGGAACGTGTGAAGCTCCAGTAGACTGCAGCTGCTGATGGTGGATCAATCAAACCCGCTTTCCCTCAGTCACATTTTAACCAATTTATCTTCAGAGTCTGGCATTGATACAGTTAAAGGTGGCTGGTTTTCCACAGGTAGTGATAAGCTATCATACTATTGAGTTCACATCACATGTTAAAGTCATATCAGCTGTTTATCATTTTGTATGTAACACCGTGTAGTTAAACGTGGTGTTTTTATCATTGCAAGCCATACAAATATTCCGGGTTGCTTGGTTATTAATACTTCCATTTATAATTAATATATACTATATAACAGTGTGTCCTAAATGGAGGAAAATATAATTCATCCTTCTTCTCTTTGGTCCCATGGTACAGTTTAAAGTCTAACTCTAAATTGGTTTCTTTGTATTTATTCCACTAAACTAATCATTTTAAAACCAATTTCTCTACTTGTTACGTTATAATGAGAACGACAAAAGGTGCTTTTTTAATAGAATAGAGAACACCTCTATCTGATATCTCTAAATTATATAAGTATTGCACTAATAAAATGTTTTAACTGAGCTGCCAGTCCAACAAATTGTTTAAAAACAAGATTGGACTAAATATTTCCCTAGCCTAATATAGTTTAGCAGGGACTGTATATAGTCCCTGAAGTGAAAAAGAAAATGGCAGTACTTCTTGGTTAAAGCATGCAAATACTGTATTTTTAACTTACATATATATTACTCTTTTAAATCCAGCGAGCCTCATATGAAATACTCTGAAGTCTCAAAAGCGAGTTTAGAGGACAAACAATAATAGAAGTTGTTTGCTTTTTGTAATATTAATCATCAACACACTTTACCTTCGGTCTTGAATACACCAGTGGGAAGTGGAAGTTAATTGTCCTAGTGTACAGGTGTGCAAGGAATCTTTTCTGAGTTTCTTACTTCATCTAGTTTGTATTATTCATTGTGAAAATATGCTGTCTTTCACTCTAAAATGTGGGATATAATTCAGTTGCAGTCGTCCGGTTATTCAGAGAAGTTTGCTACTCACCTAAACGTTTAAATGCAGACCTAATTATGTTTTCCATATATTACAATTAAGACATATTTTATTAAAACAGCACTAAAGTAATTAGTTAATTTGGATTAGCTCAGTAGAGGGTTGCTTGAAAATGTCCCAAGACACAAAGTAAGCTTTTTCAGATGAGTTTTTTTATAACGTTCGGATATTTGCACATAATTATGCTTATTGTCCATCTTTACAGCTGTAGACTTATTTCCAGTACTGCAAGGAGTCGATAAACAACAACACAGCAAGATGATGTTCACAAATTAGTTTATTTATTCATTGATTCCAGATTCACTCGTCAACTTCTTTCTTCTTCGTATCTAAATGGCTTGATTAGACTGAGCTAGCCAAGGACAACTTTGACAAAGTAAGAATAAAATCGACACATTTAAAAGTTTAGAAATCAACCATTGGTGTTGTTTGGATTATATTTGAGGATCACAAAGAATACAGCAGGAACCCACTGAAGGTGTTGTAGGTGTCATCATTTTCAAAAAGACCACAGTTTTCATGGAGACGCATATAGACCTCGTCTCCCTGATTCAGATGGAGAACCGCAGCATTAGAAATGAAAGTATTACCATCATTCTGCTTAGAGTTATGTATAATTCTCTGACTATTACGGCACAGGTTAACTGCCATCCACTCTCCGTGCTTGTTGTTCATAGCAGTGAAGCGGAAGTAGTAGGCTCCTCTGACGGGGGCTGTGAACACACCTGCAGCAGCAGAGGAGGACAAAAGTCAGCTTTATTTGTCTCTTTAGAAATATTAAGATGCTTGCTTTTTTGCGCACCTGTGTTTGAGCTGTAAGCCCCGCCAAGATTGGTGATGGATCTTCTGTAGACAAGTTGAGTTTCAGTAGTGTAAGGTCCAAACTTTCCTGAACTCAAAGCAGCAGAGAAAGCCACCTTAGTGCCTGAAAACACACAATTGAATACATGTTAAAGAAACCAATAGTAAACACATAGTTATTTTCACGGGGAAGTCAAACAAGTCACTTTTATATTTAGTCTTTTATTGTTTTAAGGTTGACCATCTGTTATCATACCTGATGATCTCATTCCAGTCTCATCCAGCGTGGAAACCTCCAGCTCCGCCCTGAGAGCCGTCAGCTGCTCCTCGCTGGCTGAGACTCTGGAAACCAGGGCTGTCAGGATGAGAGACAATCATTTCTCAACCGCTCTGTCAAGATGTCCTAGTATCACCAAGTCTGTAATTTTGATAATTGTATTCTGCCATTTCAGAAAATCACTGTCTCAGCCTCCTCCGCATTTTTCTTAAATTCAAAGTCCAAATTGTGCTCTTTGTGCTTTACTGTGTGCATGTGTCACAATAAAGAGGACTCAAATCCTCCAGCACTTTAGCTGATAATCAAGTATTTCTTAAATCAAAAATGCTCAATAGTCATTGGTTTAAGGTTCTCAAATGTGAATATGTTCTTGTTGTGATTAACTTTTTTCACATTTTTGGGGAATTTACTACCAAAATAGAATATTATTTGGCGTATTATCTTTCATTGCAACCCCATCCTAAACATCACAGATACTGTTGATATCTTACCGTGGTTCTCTTTCTCCAGACTGGCAACGTTGTCTCTGTGGGTCTGCAGCTCAGCCTCTTGCTCCCCCACCATGTTCTTTATAGCTCTCAGCTAACTCCAGATTTCCCTCTCAGCCAGCACACTGCTCTGTGAACCTTGGTCCACTCCTCCGCCCTCTGCAGACACACAGAACAGCAGCACCAGCAGCACAACACCCCTCATTGTAAAACCTCAGCCGCCACAAATACCTGGAAGAAATGAAATAGAATCTGATTTAAAAGTGTGTCTCCCGCTGACCACAGGGGTTGTGAGCCAAACACCTCACCTATTATTTATAATGTGCTGGGTTGGCACAAGAAGGCCCTCCCTGACCATGTTTAGGAAGCGAGGCTGATACAATGACCACAGCTGTTTATGCAAGAATGACTTCCCTTAAAAAATTAATAAACTCCAATGACCCCAATGCCAACTCGGTAAAATATCTTAAATCACTTTTATTTTTACAAATAACATTTGAAGTGATGAAGGTACTTGCAAATAAAAAAGTAGTAAAAAGGGAAATCGTACTTTGGTGTTTAATTGTGGGTATTTAATAATATGAAGTTGTGTTTATTACAGTATGCCACTATGAAATAAGTAGAGCTTTTTCTCATAAACATCATCATTTACCTTGCTTATCCAGATGGGCAGTAGCTGCACACTCAATTTAACGTGTGTTTCTTATCTAGAATTCAAGAAAACAGGGCAAATTCTCCAAATTCAGTCTATAAAAATTATTAAAATGAATAATGTTCAGTAAAAATCCTTGAATGGAATTGTGAATATAAATGTTTTATTGTGACCTTTAAAGTTGTTTTTCCTCACAGAAAGGCACGAGTCAGAAGTGCTAACATTTCTAAATAAAGTATCTGGATCAAATGTTATTTGAAAATTATTGCAGGTCCACATTTCATTATTTATTATGTAAAATAATTATTACCCTTCCGGATGTTTTAATGGGTTATTTTTCTGTTGGGAATACACTCTTGCCACAGTTTCTAATGAGTATGTGAGAAGTGAGAAAATGTTGTATTTAATTCAAAACAAAACAGAGCAGTGGTCAGCGTTAGTGGTCAGTGGTCAGCTTCCCTCTCTTTATCAGGGTGTGTGTGTGTGTGTGTGTGTGTGTGTGTGTGTGTGTGTGTGTGTGTGTGTGAATGACAACTTAACAAAAAGCCATGAAACCGTCTTATCTCCTCAAATCTAAACAATTATCTTCCTCCTTTTACTCCGTTATTATCTCAATTCTTTGTTATCTTTGCTTCACAGCCGGTGTTTGGGCCTTTGTGTTAGGTGTGTGTGAACGATTGCACCACATATTTGTGTGTCTTTGTTTGCGTCCGTGCAGCAGTGAGTGGGAAGATTCAATAACACCGGCATCACACATAAGCTCATCATTCAAAGCTATTGCAGGTGATGTAAAACAGATGAGGGGACACAAGGTTACTCGGTATCTATTTTCCATTACGTTTCAGAGGTTATAGACGGGGAGGGGATGGAGGAGCACAAAGCTTGTTAGTGATTACATCAAAACTATATACAGGCGGAAATGAGATTGCCAGCGAAGCAGCACTTAAAGGTCTCTTTTAACCAGAACATATCATATCCAGAAAAAGCTTCCTCTGATTCCCTGTCATTATTTATTTTAATCTGTTGCTCAACCTAAATTAACGGCCTAATATATGCATAATCACATCCATGTTTGAACTGCTTCATGTGCATATTTAACCAGCATCGCCCTGAACAAGGCCACAGCGGTCACACCTCTCAGCAGGCGGCCATCTTGGCTCTTTAGTCCTGTGGTCACTTTCATGATCGCACACACACACACACACACACACACACACACACACACACACACACACACACACACACACACACACACACACACACACACACACACACACACACACACACACACACACACACACACACACACACACACACATGTGTATCGACACACACACACACACACACACACACACACACACACACACACACACACACACACACACACATGTGTATCGTCCCCCTGCTGATGGAGATTAATTAGTGTAGACTCCCTACTGACACGAACTCCAGGCGCTCAGAGGGCATTCTGGGAGGAAATAAAAAAAGTGTCTCTTTGAGAGGCTGAGCGCACACACTCTTACACACACACTCTTACACACACGGGTCCCATGTATCGACACATGCAGCAAGTTGAGGTACATGTGTATCGACTTGCATACTGATCCATGAGTAAATACACTCTGCTGCAATGGATTTGTGACATGTGACCGTACCTTGAACTGTGTCCTCACTATCGATGCATTACGGTCCGTGAAGCAGGGAGTGGAGCTGAATTCAAAAAGACAGACAATGCAGCAGATGACCACAAGAGTGGAGAGGAGACAGAGAGAAAATAGAGAAAAGTGAAATGTAGGGAAGGAAATAAAGATGGAGCGACGGGAGAAAGAATCAGGGACAGAGAGGGAGGCAGGGAGGGAAGGATGAATAGAGATTGGTGTCAGTGGGAGGTGATGTATAGAGGGGAGGGTGATGAGAGTGAGCCGGCTTCTCTCTCGGCTCCAGTAGTAATGTCCCTTTCCAAAACATCACTCATATTTAATGGAGCACGGCTACAAGGGAAGAGAGAGAAAGGACAGCACAAAACTTGCATACACTCACACAAACTCACACTGCATTGACATATAAAGAGCGCTCAAACCCTGCATGCACGGATAGAAAACAAACACACACACACACTCAGATGCAAACAGGGTTTTCTGAGAGTTAATGGAGTCGAGACACCGAGGCCTTGAGACTGGAAGCTGGGGGAGAGAACGAAGGACCAAAAGAGAAGCGAGGAAGAGTTTGGGAGCATGTGAAGTGAAGAAAACATGCGGTACGGACAGGAAGATGTTTCTTTACAGAACATGTCTCCCCTCTGTCTGAAGCCACGTTCGCCAGGCAGCTGAGATGGAGGCATCAGGGAAAAACATAGCAGTTCAATGTAGAAAGTAAACAGAGAGAGATAGCCGCACATCACTCACAGAAATTGTATTTCCTACTTTCACCACCCACATCCCTCTGAGTCCTCCAGGCGTCTTTTTCTTATGTCGGGTCCTTGACTTTCTCCTCTATTCTCCTATAACAAAGTTCACCAGGCTTCAATGTGGACCTGTTCATGAATTAAATAATGTGCTGGTGCTTTGGATCATTATGTTTTTGCCGGAATCAAAGTCTCACTGGAAATACTAAAATACTAAATACTAAAATCTATCAACTAAAACCTTGTTCTCAGCAAGAGTTGTTCACAGTTTGCAGTGTGTGTTTTCTGAAGGTGTTTTCATCTTTGCCCCGCTCCAGGTTCAGGACTCAACGACGGCCAATGGCACGCCATACGTTTGGTTGCCAGGGAGAACTTTGCCATGTTGACTATAGATGGCGAGGAGGCGTCTGCAGTGCGCTCCACTTCTCCTCTCACCATCACCACGGGGGGAACCTACCACTTAGGAGGTAAGGGTCACACAAACACCTTGCCCACAAAATGTTCAAAAAGCCTTCACCCTCAACTCCATTTATAGTCATCACATCACATTCCTCTCCAGTGCACATCTGGGAGGCAGATATTGAGGCATCAGAGTCAGTATGCTTACTGACGTAAGAATGTTGTAAAAATGGGACATCATCATGAAACCGAATCCAGTTTACATCACTTTTCATTCAGGGTTTGGTGTCAGTCGGCTTCTTAAGTTATTCTAAGAAATATTATCATGCAACTTTAGTTTTTGGTAGCTTTGGTTGTTGTCTAGAAATCACGGCTCCTAACCAGCTGCTAGAAGCTTCTGTCTGCCGTCATCATGCTTTCTCAAGTCGTTTCCCTCCAGTTTACTGCACTATTCAATAGGTAACCATGAACTGTCTTAAAGGTTAAATCTTAACTCCAATTGTCTCTGCAACATCAACAAGATGTGCTTTCCATGTCTTTCTAGCCATCTTCAAGTCCAAATACTCTTTGCTTTAAATGATTGTTAGCATTATGGTGAACTGTACACAATAATGCTAACAGACTCTTACAGATCCCCACTAGCCAGCAAGCTTCTACCTGCCTACTGTAAAACAATATTTATTGACAATTCATAGAACAATCCCTTTGGGCCAGTCCTCAATGTGTTCCAAGAAACGTTTTATTGGTCTTTGTGTTTGCGGCGTAATATGTCTAAAAATCATTTATCTCTACAATGTTATATCCCAGTGGCCAGAGTTCAGGAAGTTTCTCACTTAGCGAGAGCTCAGACCCAACCACATCACTAGAAATACACACACACACACACACACACACACACACACACACACACACACACACACACACACACACACACACACACACACACACACACACACACACACAAGCAGCAGCCACAATCTGTCTGAATTAGGAAGACGCCAGGTTAATGATGCCAGACACTGCTGTCCGTCTGTTGGAAGATGGTCCGTGTCTAAGTCTGCATGTGTGACTGTGTGTGTGTCACTGTGTGTGTGACTTTGTGTGTGTGTTTGTGTGTGTGTGTGTGTGTGTGTGTGTGTGTGTGTGTGTGTGTGTGTGTGTGTGTGTGTGTGTGTGTGTGAGAGAGAGAGAGTTGGCACCTGTATGAAATTACAGTAACTGAGAGAGATAGTCTGGCCTCTGATGGCTCCTCTCTCCCTTTTTCTATCAGAGAATAATCTCCTCCATCAAACAAGACCATTTCCCCCAGGCCAGTCAATAAAGATCAGAGCACCTCTCACACACACACACACACACACACACACACACACACACACACACACACACATCCTGATTATTTTATTATACGGTGTCCCTCTTAATTTACTGTGAGTGAAGCGCCCTGAAGCCTGTGATGAGTTTCTGCTTTTATTTATAAAAACCTGAGCTTGTGAGGCCATGATTTCACTCAGGAAGCATCCTCAACTCTCATTTTTTCAGTATTGCTTAATCCAGCGTGTTGCAGAATCACTCAATATTAACACTTAATCCTTTATTATGGCTTATCCCTCTTTCACTCCAACTTTCCTTTTCCTCTCCACTCTTCTTCCGCCTCACCCTCTCGTCTCGTTTTGATCCAATTGGTGATTTATTGATTTTGGTAAGCTGAGTTGGAAATCAATAGAGGCTGAGAGGAGAGGATCTCTGTAATATCTTCACCTCGAGAAGAGGGATGAGGAGGCAGAGGGAGAGAAAGGAAGAGTCAAACTGAAAAGTAGAGATCAGGAATGAAAGTTTGTGGCAGAGAAATATAAAAGAGAGCAGGTTATTATGTCAGAGCTAGGCTTAAGAGACAAGGGGAAGGAACAAATATATTCTTAGCAGCTGAGAGGAATTGTGACATTGAGACATAAAATCCCAGAGGCAGAATCTGCACGGCTTCAGAGGAAACACAGGGCTCCAAATACACGTTATCACATATTCAGACAGGTAGATACACACTGTACGATGTGTGCTTTATACAAAATACTGACAACAAATCCTTGCTTTTACTTGTCCCATGTGCATACTCTCTCATACAGTACATGCATAGCTACACTACAGAGGAATACCACTATGCTGTTTCAGTCGTTTTCCCCCATGCAACATGCATAAGGCTTTTGGCAGCAGTTGTGTCTGGGGTTTTACTTGATACTTAGTTTTACATGACACGGTGCATCCTGAGGAGCGGGGCCGCCTGGTGGTAAACACACGTCTGAACGCTGCAGGGGCGACAGATCTGCTGATTATTACTGTGGCAAGGACTACTAAGAGAATTTGGGACGCCGCTTCACAGGCTGCGGGAGAAGTTTTAGGAAGACGTGTTTGGAGCCATTTCAACCAGTTCAGACTCGGTTCAGACACGAGGTTTCTCCGGGAATTATTTTGCTCATAACTCTTTGAAAATCTGATTTGGTTTTAGATTTATTCAGCATCTGGGTCTTCCATGTTTCATGATATGATTTGACTTTCTGTTGCCTTCTCATTACCACATACTTGCAATGACAGCCTGAAGCAGTAAGCATCAAACAGTGTGTGTGTGTGTGTGTGTGTGTGTGTGTGTGTGTGTGTGTGTGTGTGTGTGTGTGTGTGTGTGTGTGTGTGTGCGCGTGCATGTGTGTGGGAGTTTTGACCAAATGCTCTAAAACTCTAGCATACACACAGAAACACACTTATCGGACAACTCTGACAGAATTTCTAAAACATTTATTCCAAACCCTCCGCCCCATCACATTGAGCGGCTAATTTCCATGCAGGCACAGAGGTAACCGAATAATTTAGTGAGTGTACAAAAGATGGGTTAGCCTCTGGCTTGCCCTCAATTAGTCTCTCTGATGGCTGAGCTTCATGAGTCAGAGAGGCGGCCGCATTAAGCTGTCCAAAAGCTCTCTAACAATATCCCATCAGCACTTTATACATGTGACTGTTCTGTCAGTGGGCCGCGATTAGCAGAAACCCCTCGGCTTCACGAATTGTTCTTCTATAGACAGGAAGAGGCTGCAGATTGATGCTGGGAGTCATTTATTTGGCTTCAGTCGTCCAGGTGGCCATCTGCTCACACTCTCACCGCTTTAAGGCATCAACCTGCTGTGTTTCACTGTGCTGTTGAGCAGTGACCAGAGAGTGAACCAGACTTTGGTAAACAGCTTATAACACTTCATTGGACTGTATAAAAATCACTTGGCTCTTAAAGAAACACAATGAAGAATTTGTTATTTTCGTAAATTAGCACCCCAACAGTTTCAGACTGCGATGTATTTTTACACTACTGTCATATAATTGGACATATTAGTTAGACTTATTAGTATGTAAGTAAGTCATTTTAAGGGGCCCTATTTTTGCTTTTGGCGTTTTCATAATGGTGAATTATTGACATCACTATACAACACTCACGCTTCTATTGGCGCACCCATTGTACGTGGGACATCTCTGAGCGGTCGACCAATCACAACAGAGCCGGCCAGCTAACCAATCAGAGCAGACTGGGCTCTGGTTTCAGACAGAGGGTGGAAATAGGTGCTGCAGCACAGGCAGTAGGAGAACAATAAAGAGCATGGAGACATGTCATAGGAGAGACACTATATACATTTATGAAACCTGAAAATTAGCATAATAAGGCCCCTTTAACTGTGTATTTGTTAAGATGGCATTGCTACAATTGATTATAATGTATTCAATTAATACAAATACAAAAGGCAAGTGTTTTTTTGCCAGTGAGGCTTCTGTTTGACTTCTGCAACAGCAATCTAACAGTTCCCCATTCAATCTTTGCTTTAATGCATAAATATACATTTTAATCAAGAAAAGCTCATTTTTCAAAAACACAACATCCTGATGCTCTTAGATAACATTAATATTTATAACGTTGAGCTGTAATGCGAAGACAAGCGTACTGACATTTAAAAATAGTTAATTAGGGCTTTAATTAACGTAATAAATGACTAATTTGCATAAGTGGTTATGTTTAATGTATTTTCATGACTGTGATGGGCTTTACGCAGCTCAAGTACCATTCGTGAAGAGTTGAAAGGCTAAATTATGCGGCCAATTACTTCTTCCCGTCTTTACTCTTCTCACTTCTGTCAACTTTTTTAGTTTGTAACATTATTTAAATAAAGTTTTTAAGTAATTCCTTAATAAGAAACATTGCTCTTGTTTTTCACACAGTGAAAGGCCTCTGTCATCTTATTCTCAACTATGTCCTCTTTCTTCATTCTGTTCTTCTCCTCCATTTTCTCCAAGCCCTCATCCGTTTATCCTCTTTAACGGGGTCGACTCCTTCCTCTGACTCCCCTCCCCTCTCCTCCTCTCTTCTCCTCCCCTCCGTCCTTGGAGCGTCTGCTTTTAGAAGCAGCCTCCTGAAGCCAAAGCCTATTTTACGGGCAGTAGTTTCTCACTCCCGACGCTGCGCTTAGAGAAATTAGTAAGTGACTGACACGAGACATCCACAAATTGAATTTCTGGAGAGGGACGGACACTCACACAAACACAGATGCACGTACACAGGCCATAAAGTCGTGCTCTTTCCTCCGCAGGGAACAGGGCACAAATGAATATACTAATGAGAGAGTAGTCAATTATGGGACGTTCCACCCCGAGGCATTCGATTGTTTCATAACTAAAAAAAGTTTCATTTATTCGTTTTTCAATCTCAACTTCTTTACCGATTTAATATACCTCTGCCGAGTTGTTCAATCATTTCTTAGCTCATTGCCTCTTTTGTCACCATTTTGTAAATGTCATGTTCTCCCTCACTTTCATTTTACGTGAATGATTAAGTGAAAGCCTGCTTTATAGTATTTGACAACGTAACATTTCCTTCCATCTTAAAAGTGTACTTAAGTGTTCTATAACGAAATAAACCTTTTAAAATGAAGTGTTACGAAAAAACACTCCAGCTGGGTCTCTTAAGGATGTGCTGTCAAAAACGTATATATTCCTGAGACTTTGTGGGAATGAATGCTCACTTTTCATGTAATAGTAGAAAGCTAACAATATATTCTGGGTTTTATAAGAAGTGTTGAATTGGAGGTCCACCTGTCAAGCTGTTTGTGCTGATTGTACGTTGCACTTTGGCACAGTGTGTGCAAATCCACCATAGCGAGTACAAACTGTTCTTGACTTTATGTGCAGGAGTCTTTCAGCACATGAACCTCATGTTGGTTTGAAGCTGCTCCTACAGGTTGTTGTTTTTTCAACTAGCAGCAGGTGGTTAATAGATAAGCACTTCCTGCTGTGAATTTCGTCAAATCTACATATTGTTATTGGCAACACATCTCCTCTGAATGTGTTGCAGAATCGCAGCCTCTGAATATTTGTTTAATTTTTTATTCTGGCTCACTTCCAGCTTCAGAAATGTGCCTGGACGTGGAAGCAAATGCTTTTCAGCCTGAGATGGTTTTCAGGTAGCAGGGTGTGTATTGTACCGTGGGGGGGGGTGATAGAGTGCCAGCAAGACAGCGAGGGATTACTGCTGCTGTTCCAGATCCAGAGGGGTTTTAGACATAGAGCTTTTGTTTATACTACAAATTAAAACCACACAGAGTCATTGCTTTCGGGAATAAAAATAAAATGTGGTCAGACTGTTAGCCTGGTTTTAAGCTCCGGGCGAGTGTGATGTACACAAGTGTGACCGCTGTGTTTGCCAAGTGTTTGTCTCTGTTTGACTGCGCCTCATTAATCTCAGTCTGTATCTTCCTCTGTTTGTCACTTCGGCCGCAATACAGCGTTCTGAATTACACCATGATTCATTGCTGGTCATGGCTTCAGAGCGGCGATAAGGGAAATCATGGTGCTTTGACCAAATGTACAGCATGACTAGTCCGGATACATTTCCTCTCAGTCTAATTTAGCCTACTTATATGCATTTAATGCACAAATTAGTATGATGCAATGCCCAGATGAACATTTACAGATTTAATCAAAGTGACACCAGGGAGCTGCCAACGTGGGGATACAGGAAGTAATGTGGTTACCTGAAAGTGCTTTAAATTAGATTGCAGATTAGGGCGAGGGATAACAGAATTTATTTTTTCTTTTAAGATTCACGACTCATTTAATCCTCCAGTTTCCTGACGTTTTCTACAATGAAATGAATCCAAAGCCCATCTATCAAATGGAACAAAAACACCTTCAGTAGAAATGTATTTACAAAAAGGAAAAAATAATTTGTTTTCTGTAAAAATGTTTAGCTATGAGACCTCCATCAGGTGACACAAGTAGGTCATTTTTGTACGGTTAAATTGGAAAAACTAAATTGGTGGTCTAGATGGAATAACAGAGCAATCCCCCGCTGTTATCTTTCACAGCCTAGCAACATACAAGCGCTCCTCCATGAAGTCGTTCCATGCGTTGCGCCATTGGATCTGCCAAACTGTCAGGAAGGCATGCATTTCCTTTGCATTGATACGCAACCCGCAGAATACAAAGTGCTGCCATCCAGCTGCAGTCTGCTCTGCCTCCCATCTTATTTCTATCCCTCCCCTCTCAGTGTCTGTCTCTCCCCCTCCTCCCCTGGAAAGACAGCAGACAGGTGTGGCAGGAGAGGAGACAGATGGCAGGAGAGACTTCTGGGGCAGAAAATAAAATCAGAAGATGTGAAGAAAAGAGGGAATCCAACTGAAACACACATTTTACATTCATGCTGCCAAAACTATACTATAGGTACACACACACACACACACACACACACACACACACACACACACACACACACACACACACACACACCTTT